ATACAACAGAAAAGCGATTCACGTCATAAACATAATCCAAGAGCTGCTGGAAGCCTGTATAAATGCTGAGCACTTTTATGGAGAAGAGCTGGAAGCAATCAAGAAGAAACTGGAGGACACCAAACTGAGAGAACAGATATCAAAAGAAGTCAATGAACGTACAAAGAAGGCAATGAAGGCCGTGGAAAAGGAGCTGCAGGAGGCACAAGAGAACTACTTAAAAGCAATGGACTCCCTGCCTAGTGGTTGGGACATGATTGGTATGGATTTTGTTTCTGGAGTGAGTGAAAGCATCACTAGTCTGCTGAATGGAGTGGCAATCATTGTTAGCAAAATCAGGAACATGAACAAAGCAAATACAACAAACAAGGACAGTGCTACAGATCCATTTGATGAAATAAACATCTACAGCAAATCTGCAGAAATCCTGAAATGTGCAGAGAGTATTCAGCAGTATGTGGAAGGGAATGACATTGACTGGAAGGGCTTCTATGACCAGAAACATAAAGCAACAAAGACAGATTTTTGGAAAGATCAATTTCAAAGAATCATTAATAATATGGAAAAAATCCCAGATTGCAAACCCAAACAGCATGCCCAGGAGTTATGTGAAGAGGGCATTAACATCTGCACAGAACTGGCATCAAATGCATCAGATGAGGAGCTGATCAAGAAAATCAGAAAACTGACTGAATCAGCCCGCAGTTTTGACTGCAAGAGCAAAGATGTCATAAAGTCTCCTTCCTTTGTTCCAAAACCACCAATGATGTTTAAGGAAGAAAGTAAATCTGAAGGCATGAGGCAGAGTGCCTCAAGAAGGGCAAGAGAGAATGCCAGGTTCCGTATAGAGCAGAGCCGAGCTCAACTGAACAACACCAGAGAGCTCTATGAGAAGAGTGTGGAGAACATGGAGAAAAACCAAAAGGAACTGACTGAAATCCTGATCACCATGAGGAACTGTGAAGTCAAAGAGATAGACTTTAAAACCACCATACAAATGCTGGTCAAAGGGATGAATGCCATGGGGAGAGTGAAGGAGCAGTGGGAGAAGATGGTGCGCTTCTTTCAGATGGTGTCCAACATTGTGAAAATCAGCCTGAACAGAACTCTCAAAGATTTTGCCTCCACGTCTGAGAAGACTCAGTCACTTTCCTACAACTCAAAGCTCTTCTCCAAAGATCTGCTGTACATTCAAGCATTTCAAGCAACTAACATAGCTAATCTCGTCCACATGATCTCAGAAACCCACACTGAAGTGTCTGACAAGTATCTCATGGATCGTGTCAGCTCACTGGGGAAACTTATGGCCATGGAAAAGGAAAAACCAGAGTTTGAAGAGGAACGTCAGCAGCTACAGAATGCCTGTGATGAAGCTCAGAAGGCCATTTTACAACTTGTTCTCAACAATAAGGCTGAGTTTGAAAAGAACAGTGACTCAAGACTGGAGAAGATTGATAAAGAGTTGCTGGCCATTCTTCCCCCTGCTGCTCCAGAAGAGATGAAGAGCATTCAAGCAGCTGTTGAAAGTGGATTTAGTCAGAAAGTGTTAGATGATTACTACTGAGTGAAATCACACTTTTAGCCAGTAAAGCAGATGCACACACAGAAGTAGATAATAATTACTGTCGTTTGCAAAATTTGTGCCCAAATAGTTTGGTTCTGTTCAAGGATAAAATCATCTGAAACTTCCTTTATGCTAATATAGCATACAGATATGATATAATAGCTTATTATAAGTTGTTCTATCAAAGCTTATAGCATTCTTTCCATTGATGTGCAGTGAGTCTATGAGAAAGCATATTATAAATCATGTTACATACAGCCACATTAAAAGATGAATTTAAGATGATTGAATACATACAGAATGATTATGTTTACTGCATTTTAAATGAAATGTTAATAAATACACAAGTTATGTGGCCTAAACAGCTAACTTTAGAATCTTACATAGTATCTTTGATGTTCTTATTTGGCTTGTTTGAATAATGTTTAGCTTTGCTTGCACTGACAATAACATAAAGCAAATAAATCAAATAAAATTTAAGTGAATGATTCAGACTTACTATCTATGCTGCCTTTGAGAATGAACCTTTATCCATATTGGGGTAAAATTCAGGTAACACATATGAATCCTGTATACATAATCTATTATAAATACATTTACAATAGCACATTATGTCTTAAAATGCTAAGTTTAGGCCTGCATAGGTGTACATAGTTAAGGTTACATGCATAACACATTGCATTGCTATTTGTATGAATCATATGGTTAGATATCATAACACATTATAATAGATGTCCATAACAATATTCCAAATCACTAAGAATCCTTCACTCTTGCACATTTCATCTGAAATGTTCTTTAGGGAGCCAAGAGTGGGCCTTCCATGGAATTGCTCAAAAAGAGCCCTTTTGGCACCTTTATATTTAAAATAAGATAATGAAGCATTGAAGAGGAAAAGGTCTTTAAAAAGAGCTGCACATGTGTTATGTCTCAAGTGTGAACTTTGGCTGTTATATATCTCCTTTATTTTGTTTTGGGTATGTCCTCCACTGAAAGCATCAATAAAGTTTTCTAATATAGGACTCATGAATCTTAAAGGACATTTCAAAGGATGAGATGTGAAAGTGTGACAGATTGTCAAATGTTTCTTACAAGTGTGCACTGAGGTGGACTGTCTAATGAAAGGTGGAGTTGAGTTCCACAGTTTAAAAGCATAATAACTAAAAGAGACTTCTCCATGTTTTTTGAAATAAACACGGATCATTTAGCCATACTTTCCTGCTGTCTCAGATCATTACTTAATCTCATTTAAAAGCAAAAGAATAATGCAGAAAAAGCTTGCCTAATGGTAGAGTGATCTTAAAAACAGACTGTCAGACAACTAGAGCGAAAATGGTGCCTGATTAAACTAGAAGTATTCCAGTCCAACTGGAGTGAGAGCCTTATAGACTATAGAAAGGGACTTACTGCAGTACAATGATTTCATAAATTTCTTCAATAATAAAACGGACACAATCGGGCACTTCAACAAACTGAGCTAGTTAAAATTATTTCCTCCTCAAATTCTTCTACTTGCATATAAGATCCAGTTCCTACAGATTTACTCAAAGAAATTTAGCCAGAAATAACCATGCCCTACTCTGTCAATAATAAACTCCTCTCTTAGCCTTGGCCATATTCCAAAAACTCTAAAACTAGCAGTAATTAGACCTCTGATCAAAAAAAACCTAACACTGATCCCTGCAAGCTATCAAATTCTAGACCTATTTTAAATCTTTCCTTTGTATTAAAGGTCTTGGAAAAAGCTGTTGCATAACAACTACATTCCTATTTGCATAGGAATCATCCATACATACATACATACATACATCATCTAAGCCGCTTATCCTTCTGGGTCGCGGTGGGGAGCTGGAGCCTATCCCAGCCGTCATTGGGCGGAAGGCAGGATACACCCTGGACAGGTCGCCAGTCGATCGCAGGGCAGACAGACAGACATACACATTCACACACACACTCACACCTAGGGGCAATTCAGCATTTCCAATTGGCCTGACTGCATGTTTTTGGACTGTGGGAGGAAACCGGAGTACCTGGAGGAAACCCACACAGACACGGGGCATAGGAATCATATACATGAAAGATTTCTGTTGGTTTTGGGTCTCATCATTTCATCATTTCAAAATTTTAAACAATCCCTAATTATTCTCTGACCAAGGAAATGTATCTTAGCTAGTTCACCTTGATCTTAGTGTGACATCTGATATAATAGACCACTCTATCTTACTAGAAAGACTAGAAAACCTTTGTAGGAGTTTTAGGACCTGTATTATTCACATTATAAATGCTACCACTGGGTACCATTGTCAGTAAACATGTCATCAGTTTCCACTGCTACACTGATGACACACAATTATATATATATATATATATATATAAACTTCAACTTAACTCACTCCTGCCTGCGTGCGCATGTGTGAGGAGAGAGAGAAACAGACTGCTGACTGAGAAGGACGTTAACATTACTCTGGGCAGCATGCGTGGGAATAAATTACAGTAGTCCTATAAAAGATTTATATTCTTGCTTTCCCCCTTGTGAGCTTTGTCACTTGTCCCTTTTTAGAAAGTAAAGAGTCTCAAGAGTCTAGCGGCTCAGGCAGGGATACATTTACCACAAAAGACTCAGTGGTTGTATGAGCCCATAATTCATGTTGAATATTTTAGCAGTAAAAAGAGACCCGTAGCTACAGAAGAAAGACGCGTGGCCCAATAGCCAGACCCTAAAGCTAGGATAACGCACAAGGCATTGTGGCGTGAAGGTGCGCGCACCAAAAAGGCCTTAATAGCTCAAACCAGATTAACTCAATAAATTTCACTTGAAAATTTGAAGTTAGATTTGCTGAGCAGGTTCGCCTCTAAAGCATTTGGAAGCGTACTACTTACATGTACACAAGTATAAACCTAGCTTAACTCAGCCTTTAGGACTTTCTGGAGTGTTTGCTTCTGAGGACAGGCCACCAAAAACCTGATGATCTGGGCCTGAGCAGGACAATGATTCAGATCATCACTCCAAATTCTCACAAAAATGCCTCACTAACCACAAAATCTCTTTATATTTTCTCTCAATTAATCCAGCATTATTAAAGAATGATTAAAGTTACTGTTAAAGAAACCATTTATTCGGAATGGTCTTTGTTTATATATCTTGCAGTTCTACTTAAAGGTCAGGAACCAGTCTTGCTGGTGGATGTTCGTTGTCCACCCAAATATACACCCTCTTCCTTACCAGAACTGTGTGAGCTACTGTCCTTCTGTGTGACTAATCATTATAGGATTCTTATGACTGGTGATTTCAGTTTCATGTTGATGAGGCCTCAGACAAAACAATTGAAGTCATGCAACTTTACATCACATTTGATTTTACCCAGCACATAACTAGTCTGACACATACTCATGGTCACACTTTAGATTTAGTCATGCCAGAAAGTTTATTAATTAACATAAATGGAGTTTTGGATATTGCAATCTCAGACCACTACTATATGGTTTTCAGTGTGTCTGCTTCTGTTGACATGAAAGAGAGAGTAAGAAAATTGAAGAAAAAAACATGTTAACAGTGCATCGTATGGTCCATCATTATAAAAGAATAACCAAAGTTACTTTGACAAAGGTTTTTTGTATGGATTTGTTTTTAACTTTGTTTTCTATTCTATTCCAGACTGTACTGTATCCCTTACTCTTCCATAAAGACATGCAATAACTTGCGATTATTCTTATTACACATTTATTCCTAAACTACCATGAGTAACTGATAGCATATTGTGACCAGTGAGGCTACCAAAGTGGAGAACAGCAGATACACACATTCATTACAGTTCCCTCTTTTTTAGGCTGTTTGATGAGAAACTGGCTGGTGGTGACATAAATGAGTCACATAGTTGAAAGGGGAAAAGAAAAACTGTGTGTCTTCCCAATAAAGGGAAACATGTGACTGCCATTCACTGTTTTAGTTATATGACTGGTAATGCTTTAGGAAACATGACGAACATTCAAACAGCTGATGCCATCAAGGCTTTTTTCCAAATCACCCATTGCACAAAATGATCCCTATTTGTCCAGTTCATTTAGTGAGGACTTTAACTTAGCCTATTACTTATTTTACAACGGCTTCTATAATATTCTATAAAGTGCTTAAAACTCATTATCAATGGAACATTATTTGTAGACCATAAATCCTTCCCTATATAAACCTAGTTTATGAGTAGCTTTGTCCCAATTTCACTTTGTTCTTCACAGAGGACAATGTCCCGCATTCAGGTGGTGGACCTGTCTTTATCTGACATCCTTCCGCACAGCCGAAGCAGAGTGTTCTGGTAGTTCCTTGCCAGGAAAAAGTACATGACTGGATCCAACACACCACTGACACAGGTGAGAGCAGAAGTTAAGCGGTTGCCGAAAGCCAGCGATCGAATTTCAACATCTGATATGTGGCCTTGAGTGTGGCGTTTGATGTAAAGGAAACGGTGTACGTGGTAGGGCACGAAGGCAATGAGGAAGTTGACCATAGTCAGCACAATCATTCTCACTGCTTTCTGCTGGACAGGAGTTCTCTCATGAAAAATCATTGTTCTGAGCTTGTGCAAAATGAGGATGTAGGAGACTGTCAGGAGGGCCAGAGGGATGGCAATGGCCACCGCAGTTGACACCAAAGCTTTATGGGAAGTTTTCTCAAGGTACAGCTGAGGGCACACAGTCAAGTTCCGTACTGGCGATTGGATTGTCACAGTCTGGGATGTGAAAAGCACAGGCGCCATTGAAGCAGTCACTAGCACCCATGGGATCACGCAAGCTGCTTTAGCATTTGCGGTTTTCCTCAGATTCTGGCATCGTAGTGGTAGGACAATGGCCAAAAGGCGGTCCAGGCTGATGCAAGTCATGAAGTACATGCTGCAGTAGAGGTTTAGGAAGAAGAGGAAGCCCACCAAGCGACAAGATACCTCCCCGAGTGGCCAGTTGCTGTCTGAAGCATGGTAGACCGCTCGCATGGGCAGAACTAGCACGTAGAGAATATCAGCAACAGCCAGGTTCAGCAGGAACACCTTGGATGAGGAGCCTCTCTTGCTTTGACAAAATACCCAGAGAGCCAGGGCATTACAGGGCACTGAAAGAATGAAGACTATGATGTAGAAGGTGGCAAACCAAATGTTTTCTTGATGGGACCCAGCCGAGTAGAGGCCGTTCCTCTCCTCCTCCGAATAATTCATATACATGTCGCAGAATTTCACGTTAAGTCTGAGAGAGAGAGAGAGAGAGAGAGAGAGAGAGAGAGAGAGCGCAAGAGAAGGAGAGAGAGAGACGATTTATTTAACAGAAAATTACACACCTCAACAACTTAATATATATCAATTTTCTTTGAATATCTAGTTTATTCTTTGCAGCTTGTATCCTTTTTGAGGAGACTTGTTTTTTACAAATAAATCTTCAGAGATATTTTTGTACACCTCCATATCTTGTATCTCCATTTTTGGTATTTTTCAGTTTTTGACATAATTTGAAAATGCCTGTTGTCATTTACCTTGTAAATAAATTTCATGATGAATGGACCAAAGAAATGGCCAAAATGACTTGGATAAAGGTCTGATTCCATTGACTTACATTAAAAGTAACGTCGTTTTTTTCTTCTCCTGTAAAGTTAACTTTTTAAATACAAGGTTTTGTTCCGACAACAGTGATATACAAGTATATGAATAAGTACATACAAGTATTTATGTATACAAGTATGTGTATAAGTACAAGTATAGACCAAATATACTTAAACTTTTCTGCATACTTAGTTTAAGCCAAGTAGACTTGTATAATGTATAATATATATTTGATAAGTACATAAAAAGTAAACAAAAAAAAATTCCTTCATTTTCTTTGACTTTTTCATTTTCTAATGTGAGTGGATTTTCTTATAAATAAGTTGCTTTTGAGTAGTTTCTTATATTAATGTAATTATCTTTTTGAAGAGAAATATAATTCCTTCCTTTGGGGACACCTTTTATTGGGAAGACACAGATGTAACTCTGCCAAGATGACATTGCTATGGGAATGTATTAGGCATGTACTAATTAAACCTTGTTAACTATATAAAATGAACAGGTCATATTTTGCCTCACATTTGATTGTGCCCTCCTTTTCCCAGGAATGACTGTAAAGTAAGGGGAAATGTAATGCAAAGAAGCCTCAAACATTGTTTGTTGAAAGAATAGTATCAAAAGGGGTTCTTCTGTTGTTACAGGCTTGACATTGTACCAATAGAAGAACCCTTTTTGGTGCTATGTAAAACCTTTTTCAAAAAGGTTCTATATAAAACCATCTACAGCACATTCTTCATCAATCCAAAGAACAATTTAGTCATGCAAAGAACCTTTTAAACTTAAGGCTTCTTTGAGTCTTCATGGTTCTATACAGAACCATTTTTTTACTAAAGAACCCTTGAAGAGCCATCTTTTAAAGAGTGTAGGCCTTGTTCTTACAAGTGGCAATTTCTTGCTAATGTTCTAGCAGCTTACAGTAAAGGAACTGCTGCTTGTACAGAATGACACAGGCATGGTGGAAAAACACTTTTCAACCAATCAGATTGTTGGGTCAGATCTAATTGTAAATGGTTGCTGATATAGCTTCCACCGATAGATGTCAGCTAAGCCTGGGGAAGTCTTTATTAGCTGCAGTTTGGGTGAACTGCAGTTAGCAAACTACCCAGCACACTGTGAAGGGGTTGGGACGGCTTTATCCTGCAATGTTGTTCAAGTTTGTACTTGGTGGAATTATATATCCTGTTGTCTGAAATATTAATAAAGTTGTCCAAAAGCCTTTCAGAACTGTTAAAAAGAAACTGTGTATTTAGAGCGGTCTTGTTTTAAATATCTGGCCATTCTACATAAAGGTCAGTGACCAGTCTTACTGGTGGTTGTTTATCATCCAGCCAAATACAACCCCTCCTTCTTACCAGAATTGTCTGAACTACTGTCTGTCTGTGTGACTAATCATGATAGGATTCTTCTGACTGGGGATTTCATTTTCATGTTGATGAAGCCTCCAGCCACAAAAACTTGTACCCACATTTGATTTTACCCAGCTAGTCTGACACTTACTCATGGTCACACTTTAGATTTAGTCATGAAATAAAATTTATTAGTTAACATAAAATACATTTTGGATATCTCCATCTTAGATCTCAGTGTTGTGGACAGAGAGAATACTATTCAAAACTTATTAATGATGACAAACACAACTCACAAGTTTTATTTTCAACTAGAGAAGTGCATTTCCTGAAAAAATGCAGTGATTGCTAATATTTTGCTTGGTGGTTGCTATGATATTATAGGTGGTTGTTATGGGATCCTAGGTGGTTGCTATGATATTATAGGTGGTTGTTATGGGATCCTAGGTGGTTGCTAAGGCATTGCTAGGCAGTTGCTATGGTATATCAGGTGGTTGTTAAGGTTGTTAAGGCCGATAGCCAATGCCGCTCGAGGGTAGGGCTGGATGTCACATTCAAAGGTGCAGTAAGCAATTCTGAAGAACCATTTTTTCATATTTCAACTCAACAGCAAAACAAATACACCTGTCCTTTTAGTGCTCCTTCACAATCTCCAACCCCCAAAATGCATTGCCAAGGCGAATGACACTTTTAAAAAATCTCCATGGCCATAAAACCCTTTGCAAATGTTATATGGACAAAAAACAGTTAGTAAACTGTAGCTACAATTGCTACTACGAAGCTAAGCAGTTAGGATTATCTATCACATTAGGAAACCACTAATCTTTTCTATGAAAAATGCTCAGAAGCTAATATGCTAACAAAAATGAATCCTTAAAGCTTTGAAAACAAATCACTTTAATAACAGCTCTGCATGTTCGCACAGCAAGTTTACAGTGAAGGCTGAAGGCTAAAGTTGTCTTTCTGTTAGGATCAGCTAAGTCAGACCCACATAGCCAATCAATCCTTCCATCTCCATGTATGATCATGATATAATGTCCAAAAACTTTTGCCAGCAGATTGTTTACTGACTGAGATATGTGGTTTAGATCATGATATAAGAGTAGTGTCCAAAAACTTTTGGCTACAAAATGTGTACTGACAGAGGTGTGTGGTTTAGATAATGCTGTAAGATAACTGTCCAAAAACTTTGTGTTTAATGACTATAGTGTGTGGTGTATGGTCATAATGTAAGAAAACTCTGTCCAAAAACCATTGGCTACAGAGTGTTTACTGACTGTGGTATGTGTTGTATGTATAAAAGCAGTGTCCAGAAACTTCTGGCTACAATGTGTATACTTAGCAGGGTGTATGATCATGGTATAAGAGCAGTATCTATAAACAGTTACAGAGTGTTTACTGACTGTGGTGAATGTTCGATACCAGTGTCCAAAAACAGTACACAAGCTTGTAATGTGTCTGTCCAGCATTGTCAGCTGGATCAATGGCAATTTTTTAAGACAAGATAGGAATAACTATAATCGATAGTGAAGCAAAGAGGAAAAAGGTGTGTGAAAGACTTGGTGATGTTCTTCTGCAAATAAAACCTAAGTTAGGAATCTTGGTGTAACTTTAGACTCCGGTTAACGTTTAAACCACATATAAATAATGTTACTAAACTGATTTTTATGATTTAAGGCAAATAGCAACAACTTTATTTCTGTCTGCAAGGTGCTTTTGTTTTTTTCTTGACTTGATTACTGTAATGCTTTGTTCATATGACTTCCTAAAACATAATTCTTTACTTTACTATTTAACTAGGTTTTTATTGTTGCCCTTGGTTTTTTACTAAAATATTAATTTTACTTTCCTGTTAGTTGTTGTATGTTTATTTATACCTTTGAGTATTTTCATTTTAAAATGTCCTGTTATTGTTTTTATTCATTGCATTTGACTCAAAAGCTCATTACTGACATCCCTTGAATTTTATAATAGGACTGAATGCTGTAGCTTTTTCTGTGCTTCTAATGATATTACAAAATACAGGAAGGGTATTTGACCTACTACTTTTCACAGTACTGGGGTGACGCCCCACTATCTTTTGAGGTTAGGACACACACATAAAACCTCTGCTTTCCCTAAACAGCATGAAGCGCTGACCAGCAAGAACAGGCAGAGTAAAACTGAGCTCTACTGAGTCTTTTGAGCATTGTGGACCCATGAAAGTGTGTGCTTTCTAGCTCTTTTGGGGCACTACATGTTGGTGCTTCGCATCAATCACACCTTGTGTCCTTGTTTTATCACCAATAGTACAATACAAGGGCATAGAACCGGAATCATGTCTAAATAAAATACAACATAAATTACACACAAGTTCTTGTCTAATAAAACAACTTCAGTTCAACTTGACTCGTGGTCATACATGCCCAGGGAGAGCAATTAGCATCTTCCATTTAATGTGCTTTAGTTGGGTTTACCCAGCATCTAACCATGTAACTTGTAACTTAAAGTCAAAATATCTGTATATAGGAATAAAGAAGTACTTGAAATATTGCTGCTTGATTCTTGTAGTCATTCATCACAGTGATATGTTTCATTTCTGTGATGTCTTACATAACTATGCCTTATAAGCCAAAGCTCAAATTAAAGAGCTTAATATATTACATTCTGTTGAATTTTCACTAACAATCACAATCAGCATCATTTATTGGAAGATCACTATATCACTCACTACAGTCGCACTGATTTTACAATATCAACTATATACATTCTGTAAGACTGTATTTCAGAATATAGAAACTTACCAGCTTGCGCAGTAGTCCTCTTTCAGTCGTAAGTATGTTTTAGAATGGTTCTGTCCAGTTTAATCTTTCTCTGTTTGTCATTTCAAAAGACCCCTCCTACATTTAATCTATATTGTAGCCTCTTCCTCTTTTGGTCGCTCACATCTGCTTCATATGAGGTACTAAACACTACCTAAAGTCAGACGCATTTGGTGATCTTGTTGTAAAAGCATCCAAGTATAAAAAGATTTACAGGATCTTCCTGTCCTGTATCAGTATAAAACAACTGAATTATTAAAGTATTATTTATCATTAAAGTATCATTAAAATTGTTTTTAAGAACATCAGTGTTTTATTTACTGTATTAATAGTGAATTGCCAAGTTTGCTAACAATAAACCAGAGCAACACTGCTTAGTTTTGAATGTAGTCAATTGAAAACCTTGAGTATTGACCAGTACCAATATTATTGGCCAACTGAACCAATATTATTGGCCAACTGAACCAAAATGCTGTGAGCTCTACTGTAATTGCTCAAACACTTCAGTGCATTGGTGCTGTCTCTAGTACTTTATAAATTTAGTTGTACAATCACTCACACAAGTGCAGAAGTCTTAGTACCTGCAAATGTGCAGTATAATTACATGTCGTGCTTAACATGGATAGATTTAAGCAGAAGGAAACTGTCTGAGGAAAATGTTCTGACCACAGTTACACAGCAAACTCTACATCTAACTGCAGCATCACAAACCTTAGTATTGCTTTGAAGAATCTAAAAAAGTTGAAAAGGAGGAAACAACCAGATGGCAGATGACAAACATGCAGATGTTTTTTCTGTCCTCACACCTACACAGTCTTGCCCACAGCTCTTTCCTGCTCTGTTAGCAGTACAGGCAAGTGTAATACAAATAAGCCTCAAACATTCTGCAAGTCCTAGAGACTTCACTGACTGTCATTACGAGCAGGACTGCGTCCAAAACGTTACACTATCAGTATATATTGTATCCCAAAAATTGTACACAAACATTAGTCATTCATTCATCAGAACAGTATGTGTAGTTAGTATGTAGTTTTGGATGCAGTCTAGGTTTGAGTCAGCAGCAGGTCTCTTTACTAAAAGAATCACTGTAAGACTACATGCAAGTTGAACTATATTGCTGCTGTCAGAAACAAAACCTTGTATCTCCAAAATGGTAACTATACTATTTTAGGAGAAGAAAAAACACTTTACTTTTAATGTAAGTCAATGGAACCAGACTTTTTTCCAAGTCATTTTGGTCCATTTTCAGTCTATTCATAATAAAATTCACACACAGTGTAAAGGCCAACAGGCGTTTATAAATGATGTCAAAAAACTGAAACCTATAAAAAATGGAGATACGAGGTTTTGTTCTGACAACAGCGATATGTTAATGCCTGTTATAGACTTTAAATAAAACATAAATTGGCCTTTACAGGTTTTCAAATGTCCATGTTTAGTCTAGAACCAGGAAAAAATGCCCATGTGCATCACCGTTAGCTTCGCACTAACATACTACAAGAAATCTCATAGGGGTGCATCATCCTACCTCTTACCTCTATCTACCTCTACCAGTCATGGTTCATCAGAGCTTCTAAGTCATTAAGAAATTCTGAAAAAGACTTCTACAAATCAAGAGCTGAAAATGGCATTCTGTGTTGTTTGAATTGAAGAAAACAGCATTTGCTTGGTGGATCTATAGGACCCACAGCATTGCTATGGAGAGTTTATTTCTCATCTTCATTTTCAGGCAACAAAATCTAGAAGTGTATATTACTAATGAGCCACCAACACTATGGATTTGTTCAAGATGCAAAATTAAAATTTACTTGTTCATAGAATAATAACAAGCCAAAAATATTATTATATGCTACTATAACCTAAGAATAGCTCCATTAGTTTGCATTGAGGTCCCTATAGCTACTGAATAGTAAGCATTTGTGTGTAACAAGCCTGGAATGTTAAGGGGTTAATTAAATCAAATAAGTTACTTATTTGACCTCTGAAATTCTAGGCTTAGCTGTAGCATCACAAACCGTAGTAATGCCTTAAAGCTTCTGAAAATTGAAAAAGAGGAGACAACCCAGATGACAAACATACAGATGTTTATTTTCCTCACACACACTGCTAACAACTCTTTCCTGCTGCAGCTTTTAAAGGTTCACACATTTACAGAATCTATCTGTGCAAGTATCTTGAGCTTGCCTTATTTGTTGCGGAAAGGCATGCATAGAAACCAACTTTGGTACAATATGTTAATAAAACTAGTTTAAGTCTCTGAAGTGCAGTTACAATATATACACAGGGAATATAGAACAGTATTGTTGATATGTTTTAAGCTTATATTTAGACATCAATTTTGTATTAACTTAAATGCTATAGTCTTCCAGTAAATTATTGCAGACATTATTATAGGTTCTTTTTGGACAATCTATCGTAAATATACATCTTGAGTCTCTAACACAGCATATTCAATTGTTCTAAATAAGGGTTGGAGAATTCAAACAACTTTGGCACCTATCAATCATTCACTGTGACACATGTAACATCTGAAAAGACAATGGCAGTGAAATTGAGAACAACAGAAATTGTCTCTTATTGTTATAATATGTAATTTGTCCTCTATTCACGTCACACACTTCCATCTGCTAACTGGAGTTTAGTAGGGGGTTGATCCTGGTGGTGAGGGGTGTGGACACATCCCCTGAGAGGTAAACAGGGTAAAGTTTCCAAGACTGGGGTTAGTAGAGGAGCATCTTGGCTAGTATGGAAAGTCGTGTTGTGGAAAACAGTGACATTTGCTTTGTTAAATATCAGTTTTGCTGTTTAGTAGAAATAAATTTGGGTGCAAAACTGAAGTGTAAAATGTGTGATGTCGTTTATGTTAGTAGTTTAGACAGCATGTAACCCAAGCACAGGGATGGTAGAGGGTCATTCAAAAATCTGTGATGGCAACTCAGGAGAAGATAACTGTTTTTCAGTTCATTTGTTTTTTTTTGTCCTAGTCATCTACAGAGCACCAAAGCCACAAGCAGAGTGAACAGAAGCAGAAGCATTCCGTGGTTTACAACAGTCACATGCCTTCAGTCATAGCTAACTAAAGCACAGCCAAAGAGCCATGGTGGCTGTGAGTCATTCATACAAATGACCATTTACTCAGGTTCTCCCTGTTAGTTTCTCTTTCTTTGTAACTCAAGCCCTTTTAAAGCTTCCTATTCTATGACATACATACTCTGATTTACATGTTCTCAGTAAGCTGTGAGGAAGAGAAGGAGAGACCCCTAGTCTCAGTCTTTGTGAGTGAGGCAGTCAGATCTAGTAAGAAAGCTGCTGGATAGAAGCCACTGTGATGGACATGCCTGCTGTAGGAATCACAGCAGGCTTAGGAAGCAGTTGCGGTTTGGGCTTCTTCCAAAGGACGGGACCCTTACTGCAGATGGAGGGTTTGGAAACCAAAGCTTTCTGAGGTATTACTTTGTTAGAAGCCTCTCCACCCTGACTGCCCTGAGGTATTGAGTATTCAGAGGAGTGCACGTCCTTAGAAGACTTTTGTCCCATTTTACAAATGGTGGTCTTCAGTTGTTTGATAGTCCATTTAAGTCTATCAAGGGTCTTGTAAGTGCTCTTTCTGATTTCTTCAGTCTGTCCAAAATATTCCCGAGGGTTTGATTCTGGTTTTGATGACTCTTGTTTAGAGAGAGCAATTTCAAACCTCTTGTTCTCTTTGTGTTGTTTAACTTAACTTAATCTTCCTAGACTATGACCTGCAAAGTCTTCTTGCCTGTCTTGCTACCTGTGCGGATGGCTTGTGTCTGGGCTGCTAGCTGCTTCCTAGGAAATTTGAACTTGGACTTCTTCTTAGCATCCTGTTTGGGATCTGTATTAGCCTCTGTTGGCACTGCCCCATCAGACAACAGTGATGATAATGAAGAGATGGTACCATGGTCTCTAGGGATCAGGAGAGAGATTGTCTCACTGCCTTCCCAGAATCCCTCTTATCTCCCTTTACCTGCTCTCTTACATTCCTTTCCTCCTCATCTTCATTTTCCTTACTTTCCACCTCTGTCTTCAAATTGCAGTTGGGTCTTTGTTCTTAGGGTCACCAGATGGGCCATCTGTGATACCTGCAGCTGGTTTTGGGATTTGTCAGTAGTATTGACATATGAGATGGGGTGGCTGTGAAGCAGGTCTATGGTCTGTTGTTTCCTCAGAAGTGCCCTGTGTTGTGACATAGTAGTAAAGAAGGAATAAAACAGTGTATTAATATGGTCTTTCAAATATTTATATTAGAATGCATACCTGACTAATGTGACTTATAATGGTGGCATAAGAAATATATTATGACATTAATATTAACTGAAAATAATACACACCACCTGTGCACATATAATTAATTTACATCTTTCTGTACTTGTCAGTACACTGTAAAAAGTGGCTCGTCAGATCTACTTAAAAAATTACATGTGGTAACAAGCAATTAAACTAGTGTTATTCAACTTTTAAAACTAGTTAATTTACTTGTTACTACATACAGTCATTTTTTAGTTTTTAGTAATTTAATTTAGTAATTTTTTAAAAGTAGATCTGACGAGCCACTTTTTACAGTGTAACATTTCTATATCTAACATTAGAATCATTACTCATAACTGTCTGACATTTGAAATTTGATTGAAACATGTCTAGTCTAAGTGTAAATCTGTCAGTAAGATAGGAAGGGGACTTTGCACATTTCAGAAAACATCTTAGATACACTTATGTATGCAAGAACAAACTGTTCCTCACCTTAACCTGAAGAACAGGAAAAGAGAGGGGAGGGTGCGGGTGCAAGAGTTGCACAACAACTGCTGTATTTATATCTCTGTGTGTGCTTTAATAAACTAGGAGGTTAGAGAGAGAATACACTGACTCTGTGTGTTCATTCTCTTGACTTCCTTGAGCTCAAGTAAGGGTCAGTCTTCCTAACTGGGTCTATAATAAATGTAACAAATTTTAACTTTCCATTATAACAGACAGTGCTGTCGCCATTTTCAACTGTGACTAGATCTTTGTCTTCCAGGACTT